TTCTCACAAAAAGATGACATTTTCTCAAGGAGAGAATCCCACCCATCATCTCTAAGCTTTTGAAGTTGACTTTTAGTTGCCTTCACCAACAACATAGCATTCCAGATGTTTTGATCCTTTCTTTTCAATGTCGTTGATAAAGAACCTATGAATCCTAAAACCTTCAACATCAAGTGTAAGTAAAACACAATATCAAAGGTCTGAAAATAAATGAGAAGACCACGTGCTTGATGTCTGGATTCATCTTTTCCATCACTTTCAACAAATTCAAGAACCTCAATAACCGAAGAAAAAAATTCAACCAAACGTAAAAGTGTTTTGTAATAAGACCCCCAACGTGTACCCCCAGGCCTATGCAAAGAAATCTCTTGATGCAGCCCTTTTCCTGTTGCAATTGCACCACTACCAATGGCTTCTTTCACTTTGTTTTGTTGGGCTTCGCGAATCATATCCTTTCTTTTACAAGAAGCTCCAACCACATTCAACAACGTAGCTACCTTATCAAAAAAGTTCTTAACATCATGATGTTTTTTAGCAAGTCCCACAACAACCAATTGAAGTTGATGAGCATAACAATGAACATAATATGCAGAGCTATTTTCTTTTAAAAACAAAGATCTCAAGCCATTAAACTCACTCTTCATATTGCTTGCTCCATCATAGCCTTGCCTTCTAACCTTTTTCATGCTTAATCCATATTCAGCATATAAAGAATCAATTGCAGATTTAAGAGAGAAAGAAGTTGTCTCTTTCACATGAATAACACCAACAAATCTTTCTTTCACAACTCCATGCATATCAACAAATCGCAAAACCACTGACATTTGCTCCTTATCAGAACCATCACGAGATTCATCAACCAACAAACCAAACACATCATCACCAATTTCACCTAGAATAGAAGGGATGAGTTCTTGAGCAAAACAATGAACAATGTCTTTTTGAATACTCGAAGACACCATTTGATTATTTCCTGGAGCATTTTTCAAGACAACATTCCCTATAGTCTCATTATTTTCTGCAGTATACTTTATCGTTTCTAAGAATACCCCTCGGTTATCAGATTGATCTGACTCATCATAGCCACGGAAGGGTAATCCTAACCTCAACAAAAATTTAACATCACTAATGGAGGTATTTAAACGGATACGATATTCATTTTTCACAACTTCACTTTGCTTATGAAAGCAACTGCAATAGACTGACTTTGTTTCAACAAATCATCACATTTTTTTATGGCATTGTTATGAAAGCTATTAACATTGCCCACATGAGAAGTTAATCTCTCTGTTTGATTCCAACTCGAAAATCCCTCGGTAACAAATGCATCATTTCCACATTTATTTTCAAAGTTATCTCGAAACAAATAGCAACACAAACAATAATTTTTATCCTTCTTCACGCTGTACTCTAACCAGTTATACTGATCAAACCAGACAACATTAAACCGCCTCAATTTTTTATCCATCATTTTTTTTGGAAAATCATGACCACGGGGTTGACAAGGTCCTCTACTATGATATTTTCTCCTTATTTCATCTCTCTGGTTAGGATGATATTCCGTAATTCATCTTCTATCTGTCGGGTCTCAATGAAAATCATTTAAATCAACTTCTATAGGCATTGAAGCAGGACAACTACCGACACTTGAGCTATTTCCAATCCCACTATTATCGTTTGGTGTTGGTAATTTTCTTTTCAAAAATCTCTCCATTAATAAACCTGTCCAAATTTTATTTTTATTTAACAAAAATTATTAAATTTGATAAACTAAAATCAATTGAAAAATATATCATATTCCTAGAAAATTCTAAATTAGGAAAACTAATAATGCTCATAAAAAAAGTAAAATATGTTCAAATTAAAGAGAAAAAATTACCTTGAAGAAAAATCGAAAAAAATTCTTGTTCCTTCTTGTTCTCAAAATTGGATGATATTCCAATTTTTTCTTGAAGAAAAAGAAAAGGATTGATTACCCAAGGATCTGAAATTTTCACGAAAGTTTCGGAGCCTTGCTTGCAGGATCTGAAATTTTCACGAAAGTGCGGCCGCAAAATTTCACGAAAGCTGCCTTCACACCGCGTCGTCGCCTCGCAAAATTTTGGGTTGTTAGTTGTAGGTTGAATTGTTTTCTGTTTGGGCTGGGGGCATAATTTTGGGCCTAGAGGAATTTTACTCTTGGACTACCTAACTAATCAGAAATTCGATGGAGCTATCAGATGGTTTTCTTGGAGCCATTCATCACTTAATGTATTAAACATGTCCAAAGTGTAATTATTGTAGGACATATGTCAATACCCTATTCATGAATAAGTGTAGATGGCTCCATAAGTCGAGTCATCCGATGGTTCCATAGCAATACTGCCTAACTAATATAGGTTGGAGACAATTTTGTTGGGGATGGGCCTGTGACCCCACTTAATTAATGTAAATCCGCCATTGGTGTTTTGTGACAATAGTATAGTAACGGGTCCAAATATTTACAAATAAAAATAAGATGAATACGTTTAAACTATATACAGATATATACACACACATGTATATATATGTGGGTGTGTGTATATGTACATATCAATTAAAATCTAAGTTTGTATTCGAAAAATATATGTTATATTTTTTCTTTAGCGTATTTCAAGAGTATCATGAGCCTCATCTTTTTGAAGAGATTATGATATTCAAAACCCCATACCAACTAAACAGAAAATGCTCATGGAGAATGTCCACGTGGATAAATTTAAAAATTACTATAAAAATTAAGTGATACAATAGAATATACGAATAATTTAAGGAAATATTAACATTTTTGTTTTGTGATTCGAAATGAAAATTAATTAGATAAAAAAGTTTGGTTATTTTTGTAGCTTTTGTGATTGTTCTGATTTTCTCTTCAATTGAAAAAGTGTCATGTTGGCATTTTTAGTTCACGTTGAATGCCATGTCAGCATTGCCACCTCGTTTTGCGGCCCAATAACTCGTTTTGAAATGAAAGGCAAAGTCATGTATATAATTGTTAAGTTAAAAAGTTTGGTTTTATTTAAAAAAAACAAAAAATGTTGTGATTCTTTAACAATTAAAAGTGTAATTGTGGTGATTTTTTCTTCAATTGAAAAGTGTCATGTTGGCATTTTTAGTCCATGTGGAATTCATGTCAGCATTGCTAGCCCGTTTTTCTGCCCAATTCGTATTGAAATGAAAAGACCCAATCATGTACATATAATTGCCAAATTGAAATGTTTCGCTAAAAAAAGTAAAAGATTGTGATTTTTTTAACAATTAAAGCTTTTTAATATAAATGCAAACGTTATTATATATAGTATTGCTATTTTTAATTGAATGAGTTCTAATTAAAAATAGCAAAAGAATAGAATTAATAAACACAACACGTCATCCAAAAGTCAATTTCTACAAGAGTCCAAAGCTCTGGTTTATCCATTTAAGCCACAAGGTGGCCAAAAGGGCATTGAACAAAAGTGAGTAAAATTGTAAGTTACAGTGAAAGGAAAAAGAAGAAAAAAAAAAAAGAATTGGGGAGGACAGAATTCTGGCACTTACTACCATATAAAAATACCAAAAATGTATGATGGTTTCGAACAGAGTCAAGGCGCATCAGGAAATGGGTTAAAAAATTCGGGAAATGATTTTGACTTTTGGCATTTAGTAGTGGGAGGTGAAGTACTTATATATATATATATTATATATAAATGTTATCTGCATGCAAGGTCATTATTTGGTGAAAAGATACTGCCTACATCTTTGAAAATCATTTATTTGGGGATTTTATTTTTTATTTATATAAATTTCTAGAGGAGTGATAATTAATTACTAGTTTTATCCCGTGCATTTGCACGAAAAACGATATAATAGAAGAGAAATTAATTAAAAATATAAATTAAAATAAAAATCATAACTTAATAAATGAGAATAAATAATATAAGAAAAAGAATCTAAATATTATTAAACATTTATCTATATACAATCTTTGTAGTTTTCCTATCGTCAGAATCTCATCACAACAAATCATTATCGTTAAATACCTTCGACTCGTTACTCTAGGATTTGTATCTTTGTAATATTCGAAAAAATATTTTTTTATTATTGTATGATTGCAATAGAAAATAGAGATATTTGTAGTCATTCTTAATTAATTGTGAAATATGTATTTATATAATACCAAAAAATATATAGTATCAAAATAAAAATAAAAATATTTTGTATTTCACGACATAAAAAATGCGTTACAAAAATGGGCACCATCCAAAATGAGACTTGTCAAAATAAATTGTGTAACTGAAGGTTACATATTTTTATTAATTGTTGAACATATTTTTATTAAATGAACACTTATTTTTATTAAATGAATTCATATTATTAACAATACCGCTACATACCCCTCCAACTTTCACCGCATTTGTATAACTCCCTGACGTGTCAATACACATCATCAACTTTTTCTTTATTATTCAGTCAGGGAAAACAGACTTTTTAAAGTTTTTTTTTTTAAGTTCAGTTAATAAAAAATTAACTCTGTAACATACCGCCGTAACCCCTGATTTTCACTATCTACATATGTAACCCAGAAATCTGCTTCCGTTCTACAACTTTCATTGCTATCAGGTATGTTTATGGTCCACAACTTCCACATCTCTTTTTTAATTACAGTATTATATTATTTTGATTACAACTTTAGAATTTGGTATACACAAATTATTTTTTATTACAATATTATAAATTTTGATTACAATTTTAGAATTTGGTATACACAACTTCCCCATCTTTAGAATTTTGATTACAGAAAAACGAGGAAACGGAGAAAATGGGAANGGAAAAAAAAAAAAACAGAGGAAAAACAATGGCTATAAACGGAGAAAACGGGAAATTCGGTAGCCGAAAAACGGACAAAAGCTCCCAACACATTATATCAATTTTGCTATAGACGCCCCTTGCAAATACCTAATTTCAACTCAGAAAAAGCTCCCCACACATCAATGGCGTCAATCTCCCTAACTCTCTCTCACCTTCTTCCTCCTCGCATTCCTCTCTCTCGCCCGACCCTTCTTGTTCGCTGATTCTCCTGCAAATTCTTCTTCTCTTCCTCCGCAGCCGCCCGCCAATGAAATTGGAGGGTCTGTAGCGGTTTCCTTAGGGCTAGAAAATTTGGGAAAAACAAATTAAGAGGAGAGATGATATTGATTGTACAATTAAAGAGTTAATTTACATTGTTTACGTGGATAGAACAAGTCAGGGAGTATAATGAAGCGGTGGAAATAAATGGGGGAAGGAGCATTTTTTATTACATAATCTATGGTTTGCAAATCATTGACCATTTTGGTTGTTGCAGTGATTTTAGAGTAGTTTATCATAATATTTTTCGCATATCATCTGACTTGCAATATTTATGTGCCTAATAAAATTTAAATGCATTATTGTCCAACTTTTGGCATCATACATAATGCTCGAAGATTCAAGATTAAGATAATTTCGTGAATCATCAGCAATGACAAAACAAAACAAAACAAAACAAAACAATAAACCAATATTGAGAAGCATTTCATTTGTCAAAATATTTGAGAGGAGAATAATTAGAATTCTATTATATTTTGATACTCTTATTTTATAGAGTAATTTCTATAGCCATGCCCTATTTACCTTAAGAAAAGCAAAAATTTTGGAGATTTTTGACCTGAAATCCACCCATTTGTTTTCTTGTCCCAGTTTGATGAATGTGCGCCTCAGGATTGGATATTTGAGTTTCAACCCCTCTAAGACTTACCACTGTCCATTTCCATTACCATGTCCAAGGACTTGTACATTAAGAACTTTCCCCAATTGCTTTCCAATATTCAATCCCGAGTCTGCTGCAATCCAGTGCAATAGTAAATTCTGAATAGATCCCATATCTTGATCTTCTCCTCTTCCTCCAGAGAATTCTATACCCCGAGGATTCCAGTCCTTCAACAATATGTACTAGCACCATCAAATGACCACATTTTTCCCCTGAGTATCTTCTCTTTGTCTTCTTCTTACTAGAACAAGAAATGAAATTCGTTGTGCCCTAAGTTTCTAACGATGAACGACCTTCTAGTGGTCTAAATACTTCCCAGCGTCGCTTTAAGGCCACTAAAGTTTATCTTCTTTTCTTCATAGATCTGGACGATTAGACTTATATGACATTCTCATAGCCCAGGTGCTATATCAGCTTCTGAGAGCTCCACTTCTCGTTCTTCCTTTTCCGAAAGGACGAGCATTTGCAGCTTATCCGCGATTTATTTTTCCATGAACCCTGGCAAAAGAACCTACACTACCTACACATTACCTACATCTTTGGAGGAAGCCATTTGGGCCAATTTCCACTATCAAAACTGGTACATGTTTGGAAACTTTCCCCCGTCTCTTGTGAGGGGCATAGAGACAAATCTGACTAACCTTAGTCGGAATGCACTCAAACAACTTTGTTTTTTTTCTAGTGATTGTTTAGGGCACCGTGTGAGTATGTTCCTCTATTCTCCCAGTTGGGATGATTGTATGACTTCTTAGCCAGTCCTATTTGTACATTTGCCTAGTAATAGAATCTATCGTTTCGACCAACAACAACAACATAACCTTTTAGTCCCAAGCAAGTTGGGGTAGGCTAAAGATGAAACCCAAGAGAACCAATGGTAAGAGAAACACAAAAAGGGCTCAAAACAAAAGGAAGAGATTGGAGCAAAAGAGAAAGGAGCAAAAGTCACGGTTCTGGCACGTTGATTGCTAGCCTCCAAGCGCTCCTATCCACCTTTAAATCCTTGAAAATATTCTAATCTTTAAGGTTTCTCTTAACCGACTCTTCCCAAGTGAGTTTAGGCCGACCTCTACCTCTCTTTACATCATCGACCCACTGTAGAACTCCCCTACGCACCGGTGCATCAGGAGGCCTCCGTTGGACATGTTTGAATCACCTCAGTCGATGTTGAACCAACTTCTTCTCAATCTAT